CTTGGGTGTGAGAAAGAGCACAGCAGCCACTATTTCTCCACAGGTCATCAGGAGGATGATTTTGAGATGAAGACCAGAGGCTTGTAGTTAGGAAGTTCAACATCTGGATCTGCTTTTTCCAAAAGGCCTCCTACCCAGTGCAGTTTTGGACTGTGCAGTTTATCTCAAATTAAGCATGGGTGATACTGATCTGCCTCCCAGAGATGTTATAAAGGGCAACTTATATCAAGATGAAAAAACACCATGACTACAATGAAGGACCAACAGAAGCAGATCTGTCTTGTTTCTTACTCTGCAAGTTTAGTGCAGTTGTACCATTGCCCTCAATACAGGGAGATGCAAAATAAGGAGGCAGAGCTTCCTGAGGTGAAAAGATGGAGAGGGAGAGGCCTGTTCAAGGCAGGAAGAGGTGAGAAGGGGCTGGAGCAGGATAGCAGCACACAGTCTATTTGAGCTTAAATAGGAAGGTCGCCAACAATTGATTTTCCATTTGATAGTCTAATGAATGATAGTTTAAAATTCAGTGCGCTCCACTCTCTAAGGTGCTTTATCACCCTTTCGTAATTTTTCTAGTCACTCTCTCTGAAAGCACATGGTAGCAAAGAACGCAGCCTGAAGAGCAGGCACACTGAAAAACAAAGCTTGTGGGGAACGTGGAGGAAAGGCAACCTAGGGAAAATGGTGCTGAGAGTCAGAGGGGGAATTGTAGGGGAAACAGCCTTGTAAATTTTGATTACAGAACCATGATTAATAAGTTCTGTTTTTTCACTTGTGTTGGAGAAATTAAGGTCTTGAGAACTGAAACTTTCCAGTCCTGCCCAACCCCACAAACTCAGAACCAGAGTCAAGAGGAAGCTGTGCTGCTACACAGAAAAGAAAGCTCAATAATTTGGGTTGAAGATATGAGTGATAGGATCTCCTTTCTTCTCTATTAATGTTTATGTATTACTATTAACAACCCTTATTAAAAAATATTGATGGCACCAGCAGAACTCAAGTTTAGATCCGGTATTTATTTTTCCTCCTGTGTCTCTCATCTGGGAGTCAAAACTCTAGGTTGGCACATTATAATTTTTTTAAGCTGAGTATCTCCCTGTTGGGACCAGGCCTGTTTACCTTTGATGCTCTGAGCCCAGCACCCCTGAACAGCAGCAAAGACACCATTGGCTGGCAGACACCAGTGATACAATACTGACACAGTATTTGCTAATTCTCTTTGATCATGTCACTGCAGCAAGTTGAAACAGGTTTCAGGGCCCTTCTATTAATTGTTCTCTCACAGCATCAGGACAAACAGTACATACACACCCCGCTTGAGCTCTGTGATTTTTTCATCTTTGCAGTCACACTGACTGCATGCCTGTGCTCTTTGTGTTTCCATCATACATCTCAGGGCATGGATTAGCAGTGGTATGATGATTCCTGCGATTTTCAAGGCTATTTCAAGCATCTCCATACCTGGAGATTTTCAAAAGCTGGCAGGGGAGGGCCCTGACCAATCTGATCTACCTTTGAATTTGTCCTGGCTTAGGCAAGAGCGTTACACTAGAGAGCTCCAGAGTCCTTTCCAGTTTAGATTGCTCTGTGATTTTTGATGTCTACTTGAAAGCAATGTCATTTTGGCCTCAATCAGAATTGCTTCCAAGACTGGGAGATCCACGCCTTTAACCGCAGGCTCAAGGGGGTAAGAATCACAGATTAAAGTTCCATTTCAGGACCATGGAGAACCAAATCTAACCCAAATTTCATATAATTACACCGTTTTACACCAGGGAAGCATTCCTGTGATTTTATAAGCAGCCATGGTCCTCCTCCAGACAGAAGAAGGACCAATGCTCTAGCGAGGCATTATGCCTCTCCCTGTCCTTTTGGACAATTAAGCATTATGCCTAGATCCATAAACCTCCTTCCTTTCTTAATTTTGAAATGCTGCAGAAAGTTAAGGTGGTGGGAACTGGACTCAGCTAGTCTGCTCATCATTGTATTGTGTAATGAATTGTGGCAGAAAGTCTCCCAGTCTAGCAACATCCAAGCTAGGGCCCCAGGAAGACCCAGGCTCAGCACTGCAGATCCCTCACATTGTATTTCAAGGTGTCATTCACTAGTTACAGATGCATCCCGAGTGCTGCAGGAAAGAGTGGGTGTACATCTTCTGTTACTACACACTGACACCTTCACATTTGCTTTGCTGTGAATAAACTTGTTTCACATCCAAAAAAAGAAAGCCAAGGCCATGCCATAAGGCATGGCAGAATGCCAGGAAATTCTTATGAAAACAAACAAAAACCCAAGTATGTTCAAAGCCTTTTAACAGACCCACAGCAAACCTGGAAGGAGATAAAGCCCTTGTTCTGCAGCTTTCAAGTCAGCTGAAGGCACTTCAAAAGACCTTTCTTAGCTGCCATATGGGAGATGGGCTGATTTATTCCTTGCTAGCTAGGCCCATTTCCCAGGCAGCACCTCTGGCACTGCGATTGTGCAGGGCCAAGAAAATCCTCCAAAGAATATGTGAAAAAGCCATTGCTACTGTAAGATCCAGAAAGCAACAAATGGCAGGAATCTGATTACAATCAATGTGGTTTTGGACCCTGCTCCACTCAGTCTTGTGATGACACAAAGTGTTCCAGAACTCACCAGGTATTTCTAGAAAAAAAAAAAAAACCAAAACCAAAAGCCAAAAAAAAAAAACCAAAAAAACACAAAACCAAACAAAACCAAAAAAAACCAAACAAACCCCAAAACCCCCCCAAAAGCCACACTAAAAAAACAAACCAAACAAAACAAAACCAACCAACCAAACCAATCCCAAAGAACAAAAAAACAAACAAACAATCAAACCCCAAAAACTCAAACAACAACAACAAAACAGCATAAAAGAGGGCAAGGGAGAAAAGCTGCTTTTTTTTCTGGGAATCAGTCTGTCACTTATAAACCTGCAGAGACCTTTGCACTGAACTGGTAACTCAGGAGGTTGCAGTGTTTCACAGAGATAAAGAGGACAGGTGCTGCCATTCAACCAATGAACACATCAGGTGAATGAGAAATTCTCCCAAAAAGTGAGAGACCGGCTGGGGCCAGCCTAACAAAATGAACTTGTGATGCAATATCTTCATCTTCACAAGATTTGTGGGCAATAAGGAACAGGCAACTCCTCAGGAATCTTTGCTCCAGTGGTAACAGGCTGTTTTCTTTTTGTCTTCCTATCCAGTCCATTCCAGCCAAATTTCTAAGGTTATTCAGCAAGCACATTCTGGAAAGCTTCAGACTGACATTTTTTAGGCTATGCTGCAGCTGTTTTTCACATGAAGAGAAACACCAGATCCATAACAATCCTGGAAAGATCTACCCAGATTTCAAGTCGCCAGTCTAAAAGCAGTAGAGCTAACTCTATGACCAAACTTAAATTTTCAGCAAATATGAGTCAGATCTCCAAAATCAAAGGATTGTATTGGTTGAGGTCAAATTTAAGGACCATAGTTCTCTGACTTGGCTGGACTGAGAACCCATTCATTCATTAACTTTGCTTGTCCAGACACAAGCAAATATTGAAAGACTACCTCAATAGGGTTTTTTATTTGTTTGTTTGTTGTTTCTTGAGGGTCTTTTTGTTTTGTTTGTTTGTTTTTTAGTTTAGGGTGGGTTTCTCAAACTTGTTTTTCAAATAGTTTCTCCTGCTCCACAGCTTTCCCCATGCCTTTGGGGCCTCCTGTGAAGTACTCAGGGCTGCAGTGGAGCACAGATGTCTGCAGCATTAACATAACTGAGCTGAAATAAATAGAATTTAAAATAAATTATATTTAAACCAAAGGTTTCAGAAACAAAGGGTATGGGCTATTTTATATGCTAAGTCTTGTTAAAAGAATCAAGGCATATCCCTACCCACACAGGTTTAAAAAAAGGGCTATCGCTGTATCAGTAACCCTTCAACGCTTTTATGTTTCTCTTAATGGAAATTTTTCACAGAGGCTGAAAACACGTGCTCATGATTTGCCCTGGCAGGGAGCGCAGCTCACCACGCGTGGGACAGCACACTGAGGTCTCACCTCGTCTTCCTTCTGCCATCATAGCACACCTTTCCAGGATCCAAATCTCCAGTTTACGTGGAAAACACAAATCTGGGGTGCAGCTGTTCGAGCCGGTGCTTCCAGGACGCCGGTACTGAAGCCACCAGCACGCCACCCAACAAGGTTCCGCGTCCCCCCACGCCAGTGCCAGCGCACCCCGCGTGTCCCTGGGAAGCTGCGAGTCTCGGGCAGCTGTTCGGAGGCGGCGGGAGGACGGTGACACCTCGCGGTCCGACGCCCTCATTGCCTCGGCCGGGCGGGCCCGCAGCACTGGCGGGCGAGCTCGGAGCCGCTGTGGGTGACGGCGGCGCTTTCCCGGGGCTCGGCACGGCCTCAGGCCCGGGCTATGTCCCGGCAGGAACAGCTCCGTGAGGGGCGGGGGCCGCGCACCGCAAAGGGAAGGCTCCGGCGTGACCTGACCGCCGCATTCCAGTACCGGAGAGCCGACAGGAGAGCTGGAAGGGGGCTTATTACAAGGGCATGTAGTGACAGGACAAGGGGGAATGCCTTCAAACTGGAAGAGGATAGATTTGGAGTAGATATTAGGCAGGCATTGTTTGCTGGGACGATGGTGAGGCGCTGTAGCAGGTTGCCCAGAGAGGCTGTGAATTCGCCACCCCGAAAGTGTTCGAGGTCGGGCTGGACGGGGCTTTGAGCACCCTGTTCTGGTGGGCCGTGTCCCTATTCACGGACGATCCTTAAGGAGCCTCCCAGCCCCGGCCGTTCCGCGACGCCCCACGAGCCCGCGGCCGCCTGCCCGCGCACGCGCGGCGCGTTGCCCGGGAGACGGACGCCGTTAGCGCTCCCTCAGGCGCGCCCGCCGCGCGGAGCCGGAGCCGCAGCATGGAGCCCACCGTGGGGCCCGTGCAAGCGGCCGCCGACGGGCCCTACAGCTACTCCAGCCAGCCCCGCTCCCTGCCCCCGCGGCCCAAGTACCGAGAGCAGTCCAATGGCTCCGAGACGTGAGTGCCGCTGTCCGGCAGGCCGCTGCCCCGCTGCCTTCCTCGCCTTCCCCCGGGCCCAGCGCCCTTCCCCGCTTGGCCTTTCTCCCGCCGGCCGGGGGAAGCCGCAAGCGGCGCTGTGTGTGCTGTGCCGCAGGGAGAAGGTGCGCTACGGCAACATCATGGTCGACCCGAGGGTGGTGCGCGGAAACGTCCTGTCCTCCCGTCCGACCCCACCGCAGGTACGGGGGTTCGCTAAAGTGCATCACGCTACGGTTCTGTTGAAAAGCCATAGGTAGGCGGTGAAGCTGTTCCTCATCTATCATGAAGCTGTAATTGAACTTCCAATGTTTCACGTAAGTCACAGGCTCTCCAGTTAAACCAGCCTGTGACTGTTTCTAGCTCTTCTTTAAAACATTCGGTTTCATACGAACTTCTGCAGTTCTGATTTTTTTACCCCCCATTACATACTTGATGACTTTATTTTCTTTCTCTGTTTCTTTAGGGTAATGGTCCTGAGCACAAGTCATTACTCGATAATCTTTTATCATACACAAGGTGTCATCAGGGGGAATTGCAGCTCTTGGGAAGTTGAGTTGCGGCATAGACTTTGGTTTATCCTACTACAGAAGCAGAGCTAAATGGTCCAGCTGTATGCAAAAGCTGCTTGTGAGGATGCCGAAGTTTGTTTTTTTTTTTTTTATTACTGCTATATCCTGATATAATAGTAAATCATAGAATCTTAGAATGGTTTGGGTTGAAAGGGACCCTGAAGATCATCTAGTTCCAACCCCCTGCCCTGGGCAGGGATAACTTCCACTGGTCCAGGTTGCTCGGAATCCCACCCAAATGTGATACTTTGTTTTCAGATAATATTTCTACATAGATAATTTGATAATATATGAATTTAAAGCAGTATATTTTAAAAGCTACTGTTTGAAAATAGCTTTGTGTTGTTCAGTAGCCATTTCTTAGAGTGAATTTCATGTAAGTTTTGTTTAAGAAGTTCAAAGTTGATGTTTATCTCAATCTGTAAGTAGAATACTGAATTTAAATGTTATTATGAGTTTCTTTTGTTTCATTAGCAGTAATTGGTCTATTATATAGACCAATTATATATTAGTCTAATTTTTATCTAGCAAACAATTCTGTTCATAATATGAAAACTGGGCTTAAGTCCATTTGACCTCTCAAAATTTGAAAACATACCATTTTAATATACTTTATCTAACAAAGTTCTGTAGACAATATTCACTTTCAAATAAGAAAATAATTAATTATTACTCTTAGTATGAGATGCCATTATTATGTGCCTGTAGGCTGCTAGCATAACTTATTAATTTCATGCCATACAGTCTTTAAGTCTGTGAAAATTTAGGGCCAGGACCCAGGAAAGTAAATCCAAAATACTAGATAGCTATCATTAAGATCAAAGAGCAACCGTCATTTTTCTGCAGAGGCAATTGAATATCATTTTCAAGTATAAAGTGTGTTCTGTTTTGTGGGTATCTTCCTTCTTCACCCAGGCTCAGAGTACCGAGCCCCTTGCCATTGAGGTTAAAAGGCCGAGGAGAGCATCGATATTGAAACACATCCCGGCCAGAAGGCTCACTCTGGAGCAAATTCGGCCAGGAACGCCGGAGCCTGTGGCGGGCAGAGTACATGTTCACGTGCAGACAGGTAAAAGGCTGCACTTTTTTTTATATCTGTCTGAAAACAAAAGCTTGTTGATCTACATTCACTTGCTAAATTGGTGATGAAGTTGTTTGAATCACGCAGTTTAAAATCACGGAATGCTGGAATCAGAGGTTCTATACTTGTCTAATTAGTGACATTTGCCCAGAAGGTCTATTTTTCATTGTACATTCTTGAATACTAGCCAAGACTGCTTCATTTACTCTTTCCATTTCCAGTATAATTAGAGAAATTTAATGTATGCTTAAAATGGAAAGTTTTAAAACTTTTGCTTAAGGTGAACTACTGTTTTTGGAATCACTTCCATGAAGTGCACCTGACATTACAGAGAACACAGCATCAGATGGCCTTTGCAGCAAATTGACCTATGTTTTGAGAGGCCTTTTTTCTGACTTTATAGAAAGCATTTTATTGCACTCTTTGGATGTAATTCAGGATATAGAGTCATCAAAAACAGTTGAAAGCTAAAATGAAATGAATCCCATGTTGTGTATTCATTGTGCTTTTGTTTCTAGAACTGTATTTGGAAGAGATTAGTGATCGGATAATAGAGGTTGATGGAGAGTGTCAAACAGATGAATTTTTGGACAGACCTCCCACTCCACTCTTCATACCAGCCAAATCAGGAAAAGATGTGGCCACTCAAATAGAAACAGGAGAGGTATGAAGTCAGGTCCACAAGTGCTGTCAAAATATCTCTTCCATCCAAAACACATTGCTGATACAAAATTGAAGTAGAAACAGAAAGAAACTAATCCTCACGGAACATGCCAAAAAAGCCCCCACAAACCACCCAAACCCAACTCACCAAGGTTTGCTTTGAGGTTGAGTGCAAAATCAAGGAAGTTGTGCTGCCATGTGCACTGGTTCTGCTGCTTTCAGCTAAGTGATACAGTGTTGAGAAATGCTCTCTTCTGTAAAACATGTCCAGCCCAAGAAGGGACTGGGAACAGAGAAGTACGGTCTAGGCAAGTGCTCAGCTTCTCCCTGGCAGTCCCCACAGGGTCTATGGGAGGCTGTGTGGTGTCTCAGGCCAGCCCACTCAGGCCATCCCACGCACCCCCAGCAGCACTCGTGATTCTCTGTGCCTTAGCTGACACTGGTCCCCCACCTGCACTTCCCCAGCCTGACTTCAGTACAAGGGCTTTGTTCATCCTCCTTTTCTCCTTGCCAATCCTTGTTAAGGGTAATTGTGATCAAGAGACATTTCTCTCTGTCTCTCATCCTCAGTTGTTTGACTTTGATATCGAAGTTAAGCCCATCCTGGAGGTGTTGGTTGGAAAAACAGTTGAGCAGGCTTTGCTGGAAGTCATGGAAGAAGAAGAGCTGTCCCAGCTGTGGTCACATCAGCGTGCCTTCGCAGAGCTGCGTAGTGCAGAGTTTGCTGAGTTACAGCGCTTGGAAGAGCAGGACAGGCGGATCAGAGAGGAGAAGGTAGGACTTCCTTCCTTCCTAAGGGACTTCCTGTCAGAAGGGAGAAAAACATTTCCAGTACTGAACAACAGCCTGTGATATAAGCTGGGTATGCCCAAAAGGGTACTGTCAGCTTTGACATACCTTAAAGCATTTTGATGACATACAGCTGCACTCTGCCACTTGCTCTCATACAACAGCACCACACTGTTGTGTCTATTTGGAGCTGTCATGCTTGAGTGACTTGGTCAAAAGGTCAAAACTAACAGTATTTTCTTCTGTACCTGGTACAGTTGTTTCTTAAGCCTTTTTGTTAAAATAAGTGCTAAACAAATAGTCAGAGTGCTTGGAAGTAAGAGAGACACCTCCTGGTCTTTCACACACAATGCATGCTCTACTCTGCACATCTCAAGATTGCAAAGTATCATGCCAAATTAGTAATCTTTAGTAAATAGGAATAAACAGAGAAGGCAAGTGTTAATTACTTGCTATTTATCAGCCTTGTATAATTGTGTTTTCTAATGGTTCCATGAACCAATTTGAGTTTTAATCTTTTGGTACTTGCAATATGATATAATATTGGAAGATAAAAAGTTTGGGAAATAGTTTTCTGAACTTCATCATATTCCAAAGCAAATAACCAGCTTGGTCTGCAATAATAAAGCAAAAAGTCATGAGATTAATATATACTAAGGCATCAGAGAAGGGTTTCATTTGGCCAGCTGTGATGCCCTTATTTTACAGACTTGTCAAATTCAAAAAAGGAATACTACAGAAATGTGTTTCTTTGTAATTTGGGGTATTTTAATATTCCATTGATAAAGTACAAACTTGCTTTCAAGCACTCTTTCATGTGAGGAATTTCAGTGGAAGTTAGAGGCTGCAAATACCAGATAGAGATCATACTATCTTTGCTATTTAGGGGAAACACACTGTGATAATTCTTCAAAATCTAGATCAAAGGAGTCACAGCTAAAGGCCTCTAAGTTTTACATGCATAATTGCCTTGACAGGAACGTCGCAGGCTGGAGCACCTGGAAAAGCTGCGGAAACAGAAAGAGACTGCAGAGAAAATTGCAGCTCGGGCATTTGCTCAGCGTTACCTGGCTGATCTCATTCCCTCAGTCTTCAACAATCTTCATGACAGTGGATTTTTTTATGACCCTATAGAAAGAGGTTTGTTTAGCTTTTTTCTTTTTAAATACGTGAGCAAAGTTATATAAAGCTCAAAACAACCACGAAACATAGCATATTATCCTATTATTTAGAATAATGTCATAAGACTATTCATTTACATTTGTGGCTGAACACAAAAAACATTATTGCTCATCTGTACAAATAGTGAAGAATAAGCAAGAGCTGACAGTGTGACAATGAGAAGAGCTACTTTGGAGCTAGACAGAAATAAATGGGTGGTTAGGATTGGGAGAGAGATCCAAACTGAAGTACATGTATTTTTATAGATCAGACAAAGAAATCAGTATGTCATTCTGAATATTTTTAATTATTATCAGAGCAAGTGAAAAATTAGTCAATTAGAATTGAAAACTGAAAATAATTTTGGAATTGTATATCAGTGACTTCCAAGCCCTTAGAATCAGCAGCATTTCTTATGAGTTATCTTGCTACACCTCACTTCACCAGTCTCCACAGACCACAGCTTGGGAATGGTTACACTCTCTCCAGGGTAAATCATGAGATCAGTGCAGAAACTGAGTGTGTTTTGCAACCAGGGCAGGCTTTGGGATCACAGTGTTCAAAAAGTATCATTTGAGAAATACATAAGTAAGCAAGAGCTCCTTAGTCAGAGAGAACAAATGCCTTCAGCAGACCAGAAGCCAAATGTCTTTGGAAAGCAAGGCAGGAAATGTTATTCTTCTGACTTGCTCAGGATAGTTATTTGGATCTCACTAGAACATGACTGTGTATCTCATCTGTGCTGAGCCCTTCAAGGGTGCCAGACCTCTTTGAAAATAACTGCAGTTGAGAGGACTCTGAATCTATAATGATCATGAACCTCAGTAAGAGAAGCTGGAGATAAGAAAAAAAACATCTGAGAGATTTCATGTGACTCTTACAGAACAAGTGCCTTTGGCAGGGTGTGGGGAGTCATCCCTTAACTGTTGTAGCAAATAAAAAACAGCCACCAAGTCCTGTTGGTCATCCTTTATAAAGTGACATTTTCCCTTTGTTTCTTCCTCCTAAATTCCGACAGATATTGAGACAGAATTCCTTCCATGGCTGATGTCAGAAGTGGAAGAAGAACTACAGAAGAAGGTTCTGGGAAGAATAATGCTTGACTGTAAGTTACCAAATCCTGGAATGTAATCCGGGCTGCCTGATGTTCTTGATTGTTTTTTTGCTGGTCAGAACAAATGTCATGTTTACATGGTCACTGTGGGTTAAGGTAGGAAGTGTCATTTTAGGAAAACCTCCATGTTTTTTTTGTGTTGGGAGTTTTGTTTGCTTGCATTTGTTTGTTGATTTGGTTTGGTTTTTTTACTATATTAACATGTTTTAATGTTGGAAAGCTACTACTACAGACAACTAGGTAACTGATTTTCAGCTGAAATAATGGAAGTGTCAGTCATGCAGCACTATCCACTCTCTTCTGACTTTATACTCTTTGAGGTTTGTTAATGCAGGCAGATACAACACCTATGTCAGGAACAGAATGGTTAAAGAACACAAATTTTTTTTGGCTATAAAGCTTCTACTTCCTCTGTGTTACACTGCTGTAGTGTTCTCTGTAGTGCACCTGATTGTGTCAGTGGGAACAGAAAAGCCCAGCTTGTGTATTGCCACATGTATACCATGAAAGCGTCTTAATTTGTTGTGTAAGCTCATGGAGCTATGGATTATTTTCCTACATTAAAAGGAGAATGATGGTGGGCCATGGTTGACTGAGAAGTGAGGTGACCAATATTTTTCATCAAAACAAGGGCTTACCTCCTTATCAGTCAATAATAATGTCCTTGCTTTTGGAATAGATTGAAATATCAGTCTTCTTTGGCCAGTTCAAGCTTAATGTATGGGCTCTTCTATTAGTTTAGAGGCTGTAGTTGAAACACCTGAAAAACTTGGATTCTGTCTTGTGTAGAAACACAAAAGTATGGTATATCTGTGCTCAGTAATGTGCTCCTAGATCAAACCACTTTTTTATACTTGCATAACATCTTCATTCCTATAGTTTTCCTCTTGCTGGGATTTTGGGTTTGTATTACAAGTATGTTTGCTTCCTTTGGTTTATTTTTAGTTTAATTAGGACCGTGCATTTTACTTGTTAAGGTATAATATGATTTGGACAATTAAAGCTGGTGTGTTAGGTATTTTATGCTGATTCATGTACGCTCAAGGATCAGTTCTTAATGTAGCTCTTCAGAAGGAAGGGAAATGTCTCTTCTTTAAGAAAAAAATATTGTATGTGACTACTGAATAAACATCCTAAGGAGAATGTTGCTGCAAGATATAATAGTGATGAGAATATATATTGTATTCTTGTTAAATCTGTTTAAGTTTTTAACCAGATACCATTGTCTTGCTTCAGTCCTTAGATATTTCTTCATTTTCAGAGTTATTTCAGGGTTATTTCCCTGTTTAGGGATTTATAGGTCAGTAATATATACAAAAATAATCTCAAATTATAGGGTTTTTCCTCTGTGGTTCTAAATGGTGGCTATCTCTGTTTCAGCTTTGATTCGTACGGTGGTGGAAAAGCGCTTAGATGAATTTAGCCGTCCACCTCCACCTGCTCCACCTGCTGAAGAGCCTGGGGCAACAGATGCAGCTCCCAAGATGTCTGGTGAGGAGGATGATGCTGACCAACCTGTTGCTGAGGAAGAAGAGACTGACCAACCTGAGGAAGGTGCTGAGGAAGAACCTTCAGATTCGAGTTAGAAGAATAAGGTCAAGAAGGAGCAGCAGATTTGGAAACTGAGTAACAAACAGGCAAGTCATCAAGTAAATGGAGACCAGTGGCTTAGAAATAAGGAATTAATTCCTATCTATTTACAGGTATTGTGCCCTAGCCATTCTGAAGGGTGAACCTAAGCAACAGTAGAGCATTAAAACATGTTTTCCATATGCTGGAGTTGCTGATTTCAGGCTGCTAGAATCAACAGAGAAGTTACAAGTGCAATGAATGGCACAGAAATTCTGTCTCCTTTTACACAATCCAATTCATCAGAAGTTGAAAATGCTGTCCCACACCCTGTGCTAGAAGGTCATGAGAAGGATGTTGAGAGCATCATAATAATCTTTGTAAATGCTTTGATAATGTTCTTGGAACAATATTTCCTTACTTTCCTTGTTTTGAAAGGTAGTTAGTACAGCAATTAAATAAATTGCTTTTGACTCATGTTAGTCTTTTCTTTCCTCACAAACTTGAATGGACATCTCAGCAGGTAATAGAGCCGAAGCAGCTGTTCCTCAGCCTTGCCAAGTTCAGATTTACCTGCCCGTGGGAATTTCTGCCTGTGCAAAATCCTCCTCAGCATCCTCTTAGAGCCCCTCCTGGAGGTGAGGGGCTGGAGCTACACGCTGAGTCCAGTCTCGGTTTTCTTTGTAATCGTCCTTTCCTGCCGGTTCACTGGAAGCAGTACCAGACATGACTGACAAAACGTGCCTTCACTAACATGTGTAGTTAGTTAGTTGTCCGTCCACAGGCCGGTTCCTGAGGCGGGGCCGTCCCCCTCACGGAAGTACACCGGTGCTACATTGCAGCAGCACCGTGCCCTTGCTGGGTCAGTGTTGCCAGCAGCAGCTGTCCCCGGCAGGCACAGGCCCGCAGGGTGGACAGCTCTGCACGCACGGGGCCCGGGGGGTGCACGGGGCTCTGCAGCTCCTGGGGGCGTCAGTGCGGCAGGGAGCCGAGGGAGGCCGGAGGGAGCGGGCGCTGCAGGCACTAGAGGGCAGGATAGCCCGCGGCAATCCGCATGGAGAAGGGCCGGAAAGGACACTGCTGGTGTCACCTTTTCTCATTGAACACCCTGCGCTAGTGACGCCCGTCGGAACTTCCCTCCTCTGCTGAACCCCAATGGCGTCGAACTTTTGCAAAATTTACTCATTTATAGCATGAGAAGCCAATACTTGAATCACCCAGTGCAGTCCACACTGGCTCATAGAACGACAGAGTAGTTTGAGTTGGAGGGGGCCTTGTAGATCATCGGGTGCAATCCCACGCCTGCCCTGAGCGGGGACATCTTTGAGTAGGTCAGGTTGCTCGAAGTCCCATCCAGCCTGGTGGTAACGGAGAAGGTGGAATCATCTCCTCAGGGCTGACCCGTGACAGTACAAGAAACAGACACTGGTTCCTTCAGGGGAGGTGCACGCCAGCTGGGGTCCAAGTCTGACACCGAATTCCCAAGTAAGGGAAGCAAAACCGGGACGTGCGTGTAGGACATTCTAAATGTTGTGAGTTGCCTTCCTGGGAAGTTGCTAACCACCAGCAGTGCAGGTCAGGACGTTCTGTGGATCCTCACAAGCACGGGCAACTCCGCGGCCACGGCAGAGACGGTATCGACAGCCGCGGCACCCGCACTCCCCCGAGAACGAGTTTCCCGCTATCGCCGCCGCATAGCGAGCGCCGGGCACCGGCGGCGGCGGGGCCGCATCCCCGGCCCGTCCCCGCACCCCCCGCCCGTCCCGGCGCTCCGCAGGGGCGGAGCGGGCAGGGGAGGCGGCGCGGCCGCCCCTCGTCCCGGCCCTCCCCCGGCCCGCCCGCCGCCGCCCCGCCGCCAGGCGTCTCCCGGGGCCGGGCAGCGCCGCGGGGACGGGAGGAGCCGCCACTGCCGCCGCTGCGCTCCCCGGCCCGGCGCTGGGGGAGCGGGCGGCGCCCGCGGAGCCGGGCCATGAGGTGAGCGGGACCGGCGCGCGGGGCCGGGCCGGGGCGCTCCGCCGTCCCGCAGCCGGGCCGGGGCGCTCGGGGGAGCGGGGGCCCGCTCCGGGCGGGGCGCTGGGGGGCGGGCGCCGAGCTCCGCGGCTGTCGGACCGGGCCCGCCGCCGCAGGAAAACTGTGCCACAATGTGTCCGCCTGCAGGAGGAGAGTTTCGTCTTTACTTATTTGTTTTCCACTTGCCCCCCTCGACTTTCCTCACGCCCCGGGCGTCGTGCAGGCTCTCCCGCTTGTCCGCCCGCAGCGCCGCGCACCGGAGCCCCGGGATGGGCGTCCGCTCCGGCCCCTGTTGCCTCTGGGCACAGAAAGGCCGCAGGACCGCGAATTTGGAGGAGGAGGGGACATCTCCTCATCTCTCCTTGGTGCCTCTCTGCACCCCGCAGCCCTCACGGCGCTTTCAGGGCAGGGCGCGGGGCGGCGGGCGGTGCGGTGACCGCGGGCGGCGGTGGCACCCCCGTGACGGGAGACACGGGTCGTGGTTCGGGAGGGAGGTTTGTTCCTGCGTGGAAAAACAACTGCGGCTCCAAAGGTGCGCCCGCCGCTCGCACACGGGTCTCGACGGCTGCATCAAACCCCCGCCGACAGAAGCCGCCGCAGCAGGGTTTACACAGTTCTCCATCTCTCTTCAGGAGGCTGACAGCTTGCCGAGGTCAAGCCTTGAGCTGTCATTGACTCCTGCGGGACACACAACTTTGTAAAAATTTTTCAAAATTTTTTTATTGTGTGGAAGAGGGATTTACTATATTTACTACTTTCTACTACATAGGATTTGTTTTTTTCTTAAAGCACTTAACTTGGTTAAAATTTAACTTTCAGTTATTTATTTTTTTCTCTATTAGAAGTTTCTGTCCCTTAGTCAAATGACAATTCATTTCTGAGAAAGGGGAATATTGGACAGCCAAACTTTTCTCTGGGGGCTGGTGCTTCCCATCTGACTTTAACACAACAAGTATGTCACACCTTGCAATGCATGGCCAGTAAGGCATACTGTTTTTGTAGAAGGTATTTAAAGTAGCTGATGAAGAGCAAAAGTACTAGCTGCCTTTAAAATGTGAGTTAAAACACAATCTTCCCACCTCAGCTGATATTTTTAATTTATAAAGCATTATATAGGACAGAATCCAAACCATGTTTTTGCGTATATGATATATCTACATGCATGTTTGTGGCCACTTTGTCTAACATGATGAGGATCTTCATGAATAAATAGAAATGACATATACGTCCTATTTCCAGGAATCAGTAGGAGGGGATGTGCCTGGCATTATTACCAGGAGATTAGCAATCCTGCTCTGACAGAACAGGGAAGAGGTTTCCAATCTGAACACTCAGATTGGATTGCATTGCAGTCGCAAAATTAATGTCAGCAGGTATAACCTGATTCTTCTTGGTTGTCCCAAAGCTTAGCAGAAAATCTGGCTCTTGAAGTCTGAGATACCTAATTGCATGCAGCAGCACAAGGTGTCAAGCGGTCCTGTCCCTTCTTGGCACTTTGCAGGAGTGTCCCTTTTTTATTGTGAGGTCTTCAGTATGCCATTGACCCTGCAACATCTCTCTGTGCTCTGACCCTTCATTGGGGAGAAATAAAGATGCTGTCATTGGGAATTTCCCTTCCCTGGTCTTCCTGTCCCTGTTGTTGTTTGGAGAAGCAGCTCAAGGAGCACTGCTCCGCCTCTGTGCGTGGGGAGTGGTCACACAGCACAGCACAAAATGGGGCTGTAGGGAGCAGGTGGCTCTGGGTGCAACACAGGGACTTGTGCTCAACAGAGGTACAGGTACAGTCACAGGATTGGTGTGCTTTTATTCCTCGATATTGTGTGTGCTTGCTGCCCTGGTGCCACTGTATCTGCGGTATAGTTTCCACCGTTAGTGTGTTACTTGCCCTGAATTATAAGTCAAAGCAGTCAAAATCTCATTTGCAAACCTAATGGGAGCTGAAATAGATCCTGGAGTACTATCTGAAACAGATCCTGGGGTACTATAACTGTGTAATGGGCTGACTGCCACTGCTTTTTGAATTGCTCAGTGCTCTGACATGCAAATAGGAGCTGGTTGTTCTGATCATGCAGATGCTGAAAATTGATAATAGGATTATTTGTGTAAGAAGCAGAAGATGGGATGAGCAGAAATAAAAGAGGAATAAGATTAGAAGGACTGTACCAGTCCCTCTGGACCTGTGTATCAGAGTGGGAACAGTAGTGGGAGGTTTGGAGAGTTTGGTACAAAAAATCACATAAATACAAGAAAGTAATTATTTATTTCCTAAAGGGGGCATTAAATAATGTAGTTTATTCTCTAAGTTTAACCAGGGCAGGTCACAAATTGATGCTGTCTAACTAAAGTCAATAACTTCTATTTCCTTTAATTTCTATAATTTTCTCTACATCAAGAACCTCCTGTTGTGAAGTTCTGTGAGCACTTGCATGTCCTCTTTCAGTGCTCAGTGGAAAGGAAGCATCATAAAATAATTCCCCTCCTCTTGAATGAGACACATTTAATCTACCCTGTATTGCAAGGGCTGGGACCTGATCTGCTGTCCCTCCCTCAAATTCCTAATCTCTTGAGTGATGATTAAACCCCAAAAAACATTGAATCTCACCCTGCCCAAAAGTGAATACACGCACTATACTTAAGGCAGTCATTGTAAGTTTGATGTGTTTGAGCACTTGACTTTACGCCTAACTTTATGAATCTAAATCATCCTCTTCAGTAAGAGCAACCTGGCCCACAAGATGTTTTCAAAGCTAGAGTATTGCCAGCTAGTTCCCTACTGGCCCCTCTGAACTTTTATTTTAAGATGTTCCTGCTTTCACAGATAAGCATGAGGCCAACAAGACACCAAGGGATCAGCAGTCACACACTTCTACTTCAGCCTGTGCCACCGTGCAGGCAGCTGCATCTTTTAATTGTCACTAAACTCAAAAGAATCTGTTTGTTCTTTTCTTGTGTTGTGTGGAAAGAAGTAGGAAATCTCTTTGAATGATGCCAAGGATACTGCTATTTTGTGATAACTAGCAGGAAATAACAAGAGTTAGGACAGAAAGAAGGTCAGTTGACTTGAATTCTGTATGGGAAAATCTTGAAAGTTGATCATAAAATTTAATTGCACACATATCCTGGAGATAGTCAAATAAATATTTTGCTTCTAATTTTGCTTTTTTTGCTGATTTATCTCTATGTTTCAATGCATTCTTCTGTATATGGGCTATTTGCAGTTTGCTGTGAGAGAGTGTTTTGGGTTCCAGATGTCTCTGACATGACAATCCAGAAGGAAGAGCTATTTCCAATGGACTTTACTGTCTCCATGTTTCCCACATTTCTTCTTTTTCTGCTTGTACTGATTGATCTTTTGTAAAATGGCATGAGTTTCAGTGCTAAATAAGGATCAAGGATGCCTTTGTGAACTAGTTCTGTCTTGGAGGACAGAGTAGATCTGCTTTTATCTTTCTGTGTCTTGCACTTAGAGCACTATTTTAGAAGCTGTTTCACAAACAACTTGGGATAGAAAAATATCAGCTTAGGAAAGCGCTTAGGAAAATATTAGTGTAGCAGTATTTAACCTGTGCTAACATGCACAACACCAAGGAAATGTAGTGCATTGAGCAATATTAAATTTTGTTCTTCCACTCACTCTCTTGTATCCAGGTTTCTGTTGCTATTAATGGTGTTGAAGGACTCTTGAGGAGAAGCAAGGATGTCTTCTGCATGAGTGACACTTGTCTTTCAGAGAGAGCCACAACAGCAACAGTCCCATGTGGTTTTTTTTTTGGTCATAAACTGTCACTGCAATTTTGTTGGTGTACTTTAGCTGGAGTGTTATTTCAATCACTGCAGCTGTAAAATGTGATGGGCAGCTTTGGTTTGTCCTGTCCTGCAGAAATAAGTAACTTTAGATTCAGAATGGCTTTTTTAACGATTACAATAAAAGCGCTGTAAAATTGAGCAACAAACAAGTTGTTTATATGGCATTACAATTCTATTTCACCAGTGCCTTGACAGGTTGATGCCCAAAGAAGACACCAAGTGTCTAATCATTAGCGGTGGAAGGACTGGTGAAGCACATATCAAAGACATAACTGAAGTAGTTCAATGCTTATTTTGTCCCCGAAGAGAGAAATTACTTCTTTTCCAGGTGGAATTATCTCTAGAGTCATTGTTACAGATATGGCATGCAGAGAACCAAGAGGAGTTTGAAAGGAAGTAGAGATGCTGAACAAAGATCTGAAAAGAGGGACTAAGCAAAAGGCAGAAGGAAGATGGTAAAATGCTGGAAAGTATTAGCTAAGAAAAAGAAGTTACTAAAAGCATAACTGATGTTTGATTGGCATGACAACAGAGAAGCTGGTAGATAAAAGTACAAAACCCTCAGAGATATGTTTTGTAATCACAAGTTCTATTTCAATTCAATTTTCATTTAGTCTTAGCAACCAGCTTAACTTTCTGTCCAGAGAGGCAACCTTTGTAATGCTCCAGAAATATTCCATAGAGTTCTAGGATGCTTTCTGACTTCTGTTTTTAAATTTTTTGTGTGCTGAGAGACAAAAAAAGACATTAAACCCTTTTAAAGTGATTAAGACAAACAAAGAAGATGTAACAGAATCTTTTTCTGCTTCAACTGCACTTAGGTATCTCAGCAATCACCCATATTAATTAGGCAAGTGATTGAATATCTCTCACAGTAAGAAAGAGCAGCAGATTATTTACCTGCTGAAACACTATTTTTTTGTATTATCAGGGCTCATCCAAGAACAGACCAGAGCTGCTGGTCAGAATGAGTCCAAAAGCGCTATGACAAAACCACTCCTCCCTCTTTCAGTGGAAGAGAAATTTGAAAACTAGCTCATGAGGTATCCTGAGTAGATGCATCATTTGCTTCCTGTAAACCTGGCAGCCAGACAGCCCTTCCTCATCCCAGTGGTGCCAGGCACTGGAAAGAGATCACTCAGTGTTGGTCCTCAGTG